GTCCTCCCGAAGCCTCCGACATCGATCACTCGGAAGCAATAATCGGCATCTACAACTGCCAAGAGAACAATAGAAAATGTTCCCTTGTAGTTATAGAACTGTGATCCTGAATTGGCAGGAGCCTTCAGAACCACGTGCTTCCCATCCACTGCACCACAACACAAGGGGAAGTTCCACCGCTCCTCAAAATCCTGTGCTATGGATCTCCACTCATCACAGGTGGGCACAGCCATGAAGTCCACCACCAAGCACTCCCAGATGCAGGACACGGTGTCTGCCACGATGCCTGCCACGGTGGAAACTCCAACCCGAAAGCTGTAGGCGATGGTCCTGAAGGAGTCTCCAGTAGCCAGGAACCTAAAGCACATAAAAATAAATTTCATTACTAATTTTATTCAAAATATGAGGCCATATGAAATACAAACGTAACCCAAGATTTGAGTGTCCATAAATCCTCTTTGACACGGTCATTTATGCTAGCACCCAGTGTATCCAGTCATTTTAAAGTAATTAATGTCCAGGTAATTTTTTTACAGTATGTATTGTATGTGTTAAAGGTTCATTATTCACAGTGTAACTACAGAGTGGATCAAATAAAGGACACAGACCAATCCTGTTTACTTCTTCAGCAGCACTTAATCAGTCTGATCAGATAGGATTATTTTCACAGGAGTTATATTATCTGTCTTTAGTAAATTGATCAGATTCACATAATTTCAAAATCACATTAGTGTGTCCAAGAGAAGTTTCATTTTGACTGGATATTAAAGGACAGAGGCAGAGAGCTGCTCACAGGAAGAGCTCAGTGAAGACTTTGCAGTTTTGCCTTATTTGCCCAGTGTATCTGCTGATTTTAAATTAATTACATTTGATTATACTCACCGCAGACAGATAGAGAGGCGCTCCGAGGCTGAGATGGAGCGCCTGTAGTTCGTGTCCTGGCGGGAGATGCTGCTTCCCACCCAGGCGAGGAGGTCCTCGAACTGCGCCGTCGAAACACGGAGATATCGCTGGAAGCGGCTGTCGTCCAGGCGGAGTTCCTGTAGCAAACGGTGAAATTCACCCAGCTCCGTCCTCCTCCGGAGGGTTTCATGGACCCATATACGCCGGCGGCGTCTACGGCGGATGTACAAATATGCGGCAGCACATACAACGATCTCATCCATCTTCAAACACTGGTCGCACTGGAAACAGGGGTTCATAATGTTCATAACGTTCATGGATGACGTCACCGGCGACCAGCCGCGACCTGCGACTGCAGCTTTGGACCCGGTGTGAACACACCAGAGCACCACGCGACGCGACGTGACCGACCAACGTGACGCGACCTGGTCGCGTTTGGTCTGAACGCCCCTTAACCCTTGTCTCTGAGGAGAGCGCATCCGTAAACTGGTGAAGTGGGCCAAGGAGAGCACACACTTGCTCCATCACAGTGATATGAGAGTCTTTTGGCATCAGGTGCCATGCCCCTCTTTCTCCAGCCAGTGCTGCGCTGACTGCTTGTTGTTGGCTGAGGAACCGTTCCAACATCTCATATGTTGATCCCCACCGTGTAACCACATCATGGATCAATGCCTTTTTAGGGAGCCCCAGACATGCTTGCTTAGACTGGAACTCTCTCTTCCTCTTCCAGCTCCTTGAAAACCCCTGGATAGTGTGGCGGCAGGCTCTGACAGCTTCATTGCCACGTCGAATCTTCAGGACTTTTGTGACAGCCAAGTTTAAATTATGGCCAAAGCACCCAAGCCAGAGGTCGCTGAAATCCTTTAAGGCCTTCTGCATGTTAGTGGCATTATCTGATGTGATGCACACCAGCTGCTCTTTCTTGATGTTCCACTCTTCAAGGATGTTCTCCATCATCTCAGTGATGTTTTCAGCAGTGTGGTCATCTGGGAAGAGCACAGTTTCTAGGCAGATGGACTCTAGTTTCCATTCGTGTGACACAAATCAATCAATCAATCAATCAACTTTATTTCTATAGCACATTTAAAAGAACCACAAGGGTAGCCAAAGTGCTGTACAGTGACACATAAAAACAAATAAAACAATCAAAGAACAAGATAAAGCAAGCAGAAATACAGTAATGCAAAAGAATAAATAAGTGTATAAATAAGGAGGCTCACGGCAAGTGCTAAGATGATAAAAAACAAATTAACATTACAATGCACTAAAAGCCAATGAGTAAAAGTGCGTTTTTAAAAGGGATTTAAAAACAGGAAATGAGGAGGCCTGTCTAATTTTCAAGGGCAACTCATTCCAGAGCTTAGGGGCAGCAGCGGCAAATGCTCTGTCCCCTCTGAGCTTCAGCCTTGTACTGGGGACGGTCAGTAAAAGGGGTCGGGGTGGGCAATAAGGCTGGAGCATCTCTGAAATATAGGGTGGAGCAAGGTTGTTCAGGCCCTTAAAAACAAATACTAAAAGCTTAAAATGAATTCTGTACTGAACAGGGAGCCAGTGTAAGGACACGAGGATGGGGGTGATGTGCTCACGCCTGCGGGTCTGGGTCAGGAGACGTGCAGCAGAGTTCTGCACAAGCTGCAGGCGGGCAAGGGAAGCCTGGCTAATCCCTACGTACAAGGAGTTGCAGTAATCGAGACGGGTAGTGATTAAAGCATGGATTAATTTTTCCAGGTCATATCTTGATAAAATGGGCTTCACCTTCGCTATTTGACGTAGCTGATAAAAACTTTTTTGTACCACCCCGCTGATCTGCTTCTCAAATTTAAAATCAGGGTCAAATTTAACTCCCAGATTAGTGACGACCTCTTTTAGGTAGGGTGAGAGGGAGCCTAGGTCGATGTTGGGGGGGTGGCCGCCACTTGGTCCAAACAACATTACTTCAGTCTTGTTCTCATTAAGATTGAGGAAGTTAAAAGAAAGCCAGGCTTTAATGTCCTTAAGGCAGTCAGTAAGTTGTTGGACTGAGTTGGAGTTGTTCTGTGCTAGTGGAAGATAGATCTGACAATCATCAGCATAAAAATGAAAGGATATGTCATGTTTCCTAAAAACAGAACCAAGGGGGAGTAGATGAAAGGCAAATAAAAGAGGGCCGAGGATTGAGCCCTGAGGGACCCCATGTGGAAGAGGAGCTGTTGAGGATGCAGAGTTGTCAATTTGAACGCAGAAAATTCTGTCCGTTAAATAAGACCGAAACCAGTCCAGGGCGGCACTCTTAATGCCCACACAGTGCTCCAGGCGAGAGATTAAAATGCTGTGGTCGACCGTGTCAAATGCAGCAGACAGATCCAGGAGCACAAGGACAACAAACTTTCCAGAGTCTGTTGACATGAGAATATCGTTTGACACCTTTAAAAGTGCTGACTCTGTGCTGTGGAGAGCTTTAAAACCAGACTGGAACAACTCTGTGATACCATTGTCTTCCAAGAATGGTAACAACTGGTTGTAGACAACCTTCTCTAGAATCTTGGACAGATGTGGAAGATTTGAGATGGGCCTGAAACTGGCACAGAGGGATGGGTCGAGGCCAGTTTTTTTGAGTAGAGGTCGTACTACAGCATGTTTAAAATCCCTAGGTACTGTACCAGATAAGAGGCTACTATTTACAATATTAAGGACACTTGGTCCAATAGTAGCAAGTACCTCTTTAAACAAGCGAGGGGGGATGGCATCAGCAGGGGAACCAGAAGGCTTCATATGGCCGACTATGTCCTTTAAAATAGAGAGGGACACAGATTCAAATTTAGAAAAGACAGATGAGGGGTGCAGAGGGGCTGAAGGGTCATACGATGGTTGAGAGATACAGGCTCTGGTTGACGTAATTTTATCAGTGAAGAAGTGAAGGAATTTTTCTCAGATTTCAGTGGAGGCATCAAAACCAAGAGACTTGGGAGCCTCAAGGACAGTGTTTATGGTTTTGAACAGAGCTCTGGGGTTGTTAGAGTTAAAAGCAATTAATTCTGGGAATATTTATTCTTCTCAGCTTTCACAATCTTCTGATAATTCCACAGACGATCTTTAAAGATGCCAAGAGACACATGCAGTCTGTCCTTTTTCCACCTGCGCTCCGCCCTCCTGCACTCACGCATGGCTGCACGAGTGACGTCGTTCAACCAGGGCTCGGGCGTAGGTTTGGTGCGCCGGGTCTTCAGAGGAGCGACCGTGTCCAGTGTTTGTAGACAGGTGGAGTGAAATCTCAATACCAGTTCCTCAGTATCCACACACACAGGGGCTGCAGAGTCATCCTCGCAGAGACCAACGAAGGTAGATGAGAACAGAGCAGGCGAGGAAGAGTTAAACATGCGACGCGGTTTAGGTGGAGCGTGCAATTTAACCGGATACTGAGTGGGGATATCAAATAAAATCGGCATATGATCTGAGAAAACAGCGTCACAAATGACAAGGTTAGAAACACACAGACCGTGCGTGAGCACCAAGTCTAGTGTGTGTCCGAGATTATGTGTAGAACCGGACACAGACTGCACGAAGTTAAAAGAGTCAATGAGATTTAAAAAGCTCCTGGAGACCGGCTCTTCAGGGCAACAAGTGTGAATATTAAAATCACCAACAATAAGGACACGGTCGTATTTCCGTAGAATTTCGGCCAGAAATTCAGAAAAGTCACTTATAAAATCCTTATTGTATTTGGGTGGTCGATAGATGACGGCGCACAGGACAACATGAGAGCAGCCCAGTTCAAACAAGCACATTTCAAAGCTTGTGAATGAGAATTGCAGTCAGATCTGCCGGCATTTAAAGTCGCTTTTAAAAATAACTGCTATTCCACCTCCTTTTCGACCAGACGACCGCGGGGAATTAAAATAGCAGCAATCCGGCGGGCAGAGTTCAATAAGAGGACTGGACTCACCGGTACTCAGCCATGTCTCCGTCACACAGAGAAAATACAATCCGCGGGACATGAAGAAATCCTTCAAGATGAAAGTTTTGTTCGCCAGTGATCTGGCATTGACAAGGCCGAACCTGGCAGAGATCGGCACATCTGAGGCATCAGCTGATCGCGGAGCCCGACACAGGGCCCGTAGATGGCAGGGATTCACCCCACGCCGGCGGGGACGAGGAGAGCAGGGGCCGCGGGGACGGACCATCCCATCCGAACCGAGGACAGGTACCAGCCAGGAGTCGACAGGGTGCAGCGATCGCAGATGAGGAAAGAGACCAGATCCCACTCCATTTCTCCTCAGGGAAACCACGGAAGATCGAGCCAAGAGAGCTTTAACTTTCACCAGCTGGCCGCTGCGTTTGCCACGGCGGCGCCAGCGTTTACGCCGGGGAAATGGAGCGAAAGTGCAGCGAAGGTGAGCAGGTATACCGGAGAGGTGAAACGGCTTAAACGTCGTATGACCACAGTGATCAGGATCTAATTTCACCACATGGCAGAGGGGCGAAGATCCAGAAGTGTTTGGTGGTCATACACATACAGTTGTCACGGGGGTGTGGATGTAGGACCCAAGTGCAGCACAACGGCAGGTAGTTGTTTAGAAGCTACTTTTATTGTAACAGTTCACAGTAAACAGGTAACTGAAGATACTGGGATGATTTAGCAGTCTCTGTATAATTTCCAGGACCAACAGGAAACAGATCCACAGGAAACAGGTCCAACAGGCAGAAAGGTGAGTGCACACAGAAAACACACTACACCTGAGAGTCTTTGTGAAGTGCAGCAGCACTGTTGAGGGGCAGGCTGGGCTCGTGGTCGAAGCGGAGGCAATGTCAAATCCAGGCAGACAATCAGCGGGGCAGACTAACTCCAGAGGGATCAGACAGAAGGATAGTTGTGGACAGGCAGTAGGTCGGGAAGCCAGTAACACAGCAAAACCTGAAGTTCTCACCGGAGCGAAGAAACTTGACAGAGGATCCAAGGGCTGAGACAATAAGACGTGGTCAGGGACAGGCAGGAGTCGAAACCGAGAAGTCAATCCAAGAAATAATGCTGGAGAGTCGTGCATGCTGCGAAGACAATCTGGCACTGAATGAGGGACACAGACTGACTTAAATACTGGCTGGCTAATCAGCAGTGAGGAGCTGCAGCTTGTCACTCACAGGTGTGGGGAATCAGTGCTGATGAGGAGGTGTGGCAGGGAGGTCAGTGAGAGTCAGCCTGAGAAACACAGCAGAGTGTGACAACAGTGAGCTGACATTACTGATAACGATAGACACAAACAGCACAAACACGAACAGCGCTGACAGCGAGAGACGGCAGGCCACACACACCGGCGCCATCTTGCTTCTCCAAAGTGTACGGTGAAGCTGAGGTATGGTTCACCCCCACCTCCACTACTGGTCCAAATGTCAGTGGTGGCAGCCAACCAAGAAGAACCCTGTGCCAATTTTTTTATCATGTCAGCTTTGACCTCATTGTACAGCTGTGGTATCTCTGTCTGGGAGAAATGCTTTCTTGTGGGCACCTTGTACTGAGGAACTGCTTTTTTCATGAGCTTTAGAAAGCCAGGCCTTTCAACAACTCTAAATGGCATCATGTCCTTTGCTATGAAATAGCCTACTGCACGGGTTAGTTCTGTCGCAGCCTTGGATTTTGGTTCATATGCAGCTCGCCTTTGTAATGCCTCTAGAAGGGTTGGTTGCTCCTTGGGTGGTTGTGATTGAGGCGCCTAGAAAAAATAATGTACAATGTCACAAGCATGAATTGATCCATTTGTTATTTTGAGAATACATTTCATTATTTATCTATTTATTTATTTATTTATTCTTAAATGTTATCATATAGATTATACAATGAAAATATTCTTAATAACTATTATTTTATGAATACTGTCATTGCATAAAAACATAAATTGACCCAATAACTATTATTCTAAGAATACCCGATACTTAAGTTGTGAAAAAAAAGATATATATATGTGTTAAATACAGGGTACAGATACAGAATAGGGCAGAATTTAATTCGATAATGTAACTATAACTTCAAAATACTAATGCTCCCAATGTCATTGTTGCATGACAAAAATAACCACTAGTAAATCTACAAGCTCTCAAGGCGACTCAACCGGACGCGCTGTGAGGCGTGCACAGCATGAGACACACAAACAATATGAGCAAGAGGCAGCTAACGCGACGTTGGGAGCATTAGCTTTTTGGAGCTAAAGTTAGCAGAAACGTCACTAACGTTGTCGATAATAAGCAGTAGAGTTGACCCAACTTGTTGCGGTCATGTTGTTTTTACCTTGATTCGGGCGAACGATGCTGGATGGTGTTCTCGGAGGTGGGCACGTAGGCTTGAAGTATTCGACATCTGGGCTGCAACTTCCTTGTGGCATAACCTGCAAACTGGAGTGAGGTTTGCCTGCTCTGTCTGCTGTGTGAAGCCATAAAATAACCATACTGCCGACGTAACCTTTTTCAAAGGGGGATACAGTCGAGGCGTTTCAACGTTCTCTCTCTCTAACTGTTCTTGGTCCGGCTGCATCTTCGAAGCGATTGGACGTAGGAGCATGTGCTTCAACTTTTTATTTCTTCTTCAAACTGTTTCCGGTTCACAGAGAGGACACACTCCAACAGTGCTTTGGGTGGCCGCAATGCATTGTGGGTGGCCACGCATTTTGTTGTAAAAATTCTTCATTTTCTCTCTTAATATTCCCGTTTTTGTTAGGCTGGCATTAATGTACTTAATTCGAAAGTTTGTTTTGGATTTTGGACTACTTTGTGGTAGTTTGTTTGTACATTTTGCTACCGAGGCTTTGACACTGTGGGTAAGACTACAAGCGGGTGAAGTTAGTTATCCGGCTTCGCTCACTTACGCAGAAGGCCACTCGTCTGTGGCGATGTGTGCGGTATGCTACGATTGCATCATCGCGACTGTCTAATATCGTATATCGCGATAAAATCGTATATTGGCACATCCCTAGTCAGCACATACATTTAGATCTATATAGATATATTCTGATCTATATCTGATCTGATGAGCATGACACACAACCTGACCGAATCAACACAGCTGAAGCCGCATTAAATTAAATTTAATATCTAGTAAATAGACACACATAATGAAGTTAACAAGATATTTAATTTGTCTCCCTCCTTTTCTTTCTTCCTCTTCCTATTATTTCTCGCGCAGCTCAGCCTGGACATGTCTCTGTGTCCTCTCTCTGTCCTACTGCAGCTGCTGCTGCAGTGGCTGAACAGATGATTTGTTTCAGTGATCAGATGAGTTATTTACTCTAAGCCTACATACAGATAAGGCTTCACGAAAAACGATATGTTTCGTCTAAACGATAGAAAATTTCTATCGGGATACATGAGCTCTATCGTTTCTATCGCGGTGTTGCAAAAACACGCTTTACGGCAGTGTTTTACGTCGTGACGCTCCATATATTGCATGCCCGCACGCGCTACGGCCACTGTGAAAGACACAATCAAGCATGGAGGAGCCGGGTAATTGTGGCGAAAGAGATGACAATTCTCGTGCATCAAATGCAGACGAGCCAACGCAGACGGAGGAGCTGCTGCCGAAACGGGGGGCAACGTCGGTTGTGTGGTCGTGGTTTGGTTTTAAAAGGAGCGACACGGAGCAGACCGCTGTAGTTTTATTCTGAGTCAGCACATAGATGTAAATCTATATCGATATACTCTGATCTATATCTGATCTGATGAGCGCGTTTGGACACTCCACCTGACCGAATTAACACAGCTGAAACCGCATTAAATTAAATATCCAGTAAACAGTCACACATGATGAAGTTAACAAGATATTTAATTCGCCCCCCCCGCTTATCCTCCTTCTTCCTCGCGCAGCTTGATAGGTGTTATGCCGTAGAATGCACCCCTGCATCCCATCCACTCATTAACTTCTTAAAGTGGAAAAAAAAATTATCTCATATTTAAAAAAACACGAGTATTGGATCATGACAACATGTCAAATGGAGCAGCAAACTTTCGGTCTGTTTTTAGGTTTTTAAAAAAAGCACATAGAGAGGTGTATTTGTGTATTTAAACTGTACAGTTAGCTGTCATGGTAGAGAACATTATATTTTCGGGGCAGCAAATATTCCGAATCAGAGGGCTGTTGTTTTCGGCATATCTGAAAAGCCTGAATTAAATCATTAAAGGCACACACTTTAGAATCAGTCCAACGGTAAGGAAAACTCGGATTATTCCGCCTTGTTATGTATCTTCAACCACGCTCCCGTCAGGGGGGCATTCTACGGCAGGGGTACATTCTATGGCACAACACCTGACGTGTCTCCGTGTCCACTCTCCATCCTGCTGCTGATGCGGTGGCACGGCTGATCAGATGATTTATTTTAATGATCAGGGGCCTTATGTATCAATACTTGCATGGAACTCATACCAGAAACGAGCGCACGCAAGGTCCGTCACGCTGAAAAAAATCCGTATGTATAAATGTGTGCGGGCGCCGAAATCCATGTGTGTTTCCATGATAAATCCCAATCAGCGTGGAATTGAGCGCAGATGTCGGAGTGACTGGGCCCATCCCCGTTACGCCCTCCTATAAATATGCAGATTTATTTAAATAGGGTCTCCCTGTCCTCGCACGCAGACAAAATGACAAGAAAAACTAAATTTACGGCGTGCGAGGTGGAGGTGCTGGTGGCGGAGGTGGAAGAGCGACAGCGTGTTTTGTTTGGCAGCCTGTCCAGTGGCGTCAGTGCAAAACAAAAACGCTTGGAATGGGAGAAAGTTTGCGAGAGGGTGAACGCGGTGGGTTCCGAGACACGCACCCCCGCGAAGATTAAAAAAAAGTGGTCGGACCTCAAGGTGGAGGTCAAGCGGCGTACAGCTGCCCTCCGGAGGAGTACCGGCCAGACAGGTGGGGGAGACCCTCACACCGTTTGAGCAGCGGGTGGTGGCGATTATTATTATAGGGTAAGTGGCGTGTCACACAAATGTCCACATGCTTTGTCATCCCACTGAGCAAAAGACGTATATAAGACGTCTAGTCTAAGTTTATACTTCATTTCAACGTCGGGATTCAGTCTATTTTTAGACGTGATTTATACTTCGCCCTTAACTTCATTTTTCGATAACTTTTTATGCAATAAACAACTGTAATGTGCATAACTGACCTCTAAATACTGGATTACATTACCTATGATACCGTGGAGAGAGATGTAAACGCAACAGATACACAGAAGCAGGAATTGAAATGAACCAATATTTTTATTGTGTCACAGAAATCAATGTGTCGGGCGTGTCGTCGGCTTGCGGAACCCCGGCCCGCGGCAGCCCGTCCACCGGCTCGGAGTCGTCGGCCAGGACCAGCGGCATTCGGGCCACCCCGGCCCCCGGCCCCAGCACCAGCACCAGCATCAGCACCAGCGCGCCGACAAGCGGTGGAGCGTCCACCAGCCGCGGCGCTTCCGCTGGACCACCCGGACGCAGTGGAAGGGTCCTCGCGGAGGGGGTCCTGCAATCGCAGGAAGAAATCATCAGGGGGGATCAACGAGCGGCTGGACCGGCTCGTAAATGTCCTCGAGCGTCTGGTGGAGAAAATAAATTAATTTGGCTCATTGAACTGTGTATTCACTTCTTACCCATTCACACTGTGGAGATGAGATTCTCCCGCGCGAGGACGGCGGCCCGGCAGGGATCAGCTCGCATCCCTCCGTCTGCTGCTGGTTCGTCATGTGGGGCGACGTGCTGCTCGGCCACGGGAATGTGGTGCACGCTTGTCACATAGTGAGTCACCAAACACCGCCACACAGCGTCGCCAAAGTGCGAATCACAGTTAACGCAAGTATCGGCTCAACACCAATTTCTACACCACCTCCTGACTTTGCGTTGATTAGCGCTGGAACCGACGCTCGTTTCGCGATGATAAATCTGGACGTGTGCGCCGATTTTGGCGTACGCAAGGTTTTCTTGCGCCGCAAGCGTTGATACATAAGGCCCCTGATGAGTTATTTACTTCAAGCCTACATACGAATATTATATTTTATATTTCATATAAACTATACATCAATTGAATTTACAAAAAATGTACTATATCGTGATGTATATCGTATCAGGATATAAAATGAGCTATATCGGGATATGACCAAAATCTCATATCGTGAAGCCTTACATACGGATATTATAATATTCAGTTTTGTGAACCAAATTTATTTTATATGCCAACATCTATGAAAGAAAGAGCCAGGCCACGGAGCGCGATGCGTCATTTACGCACAGATGGTTCCGATTTTAATGCCATTTTTGGAGTTTATGTTGTGATCTGTGCGCTCAACCCACCTTTGTCACGTGAGGTTTGAATATATGCAACTTTATGTGAGTGTCTTTATTTGTGGAAAAAGGGTGTTTGTCTTACCAGGGTCCAACATTACACACACCAAATCCATCTGTGCTTATATGAGAGAGTGTGGAGGACGCCCAATGCAGCGCTTACACTGACACTTGTTGAGGAGCTGCCTTCTGTCACCATCGTGTGGCATTACTGTCTTCAGACATCTCTTGATCTCTTTGACTACTTCACCAAAATAGTAATACACCTCGCCGGTGGCGGATTTAAAGGCAAGGAGAGGAGCTTATGTGATTGGTGAAAAGAGGTCTCGGCTGTGTTAAACCCACTCCACGCCCTTTCTCCTCCCTCGCTATGACTAACGTCGCTGGGAGGAGCTGAGTTAGGGAGGGGGGATACTTACACCGGGCTGCGCCGCTCACCAAAATACCAAATTGTGCTTGGAAAGCCTTGTCGGCGCAGCGGACCTGACTTATGCCGTGCCTGCGGCATGTCTCCGGCGAGGCACGAAAATAGGGCCCCTTGTGTGCTGAGGCAGCCTGTGACCAAAGTCAAAATAAGAAGATGGACACCTCAAGCCAGTGAAGCTCTAAGGGACTGTTTTAAATCAACAGACTGGAATGTGCTGCTGGAAACAGATGTGGATAGTATGAACATTGATTAACAGGTTGACTGCTTTACTGATTATGTCAACTTCTGTAGAGATACAGTTATACCCACAAAAACTGTTTGCTGTTTCCCCAACATCAAACCCTGGATCACAAGAGACATTAAAGCAATCCTTAACCAGAAAAAGAAAGCTTTTAAAGATGGTGACAAAGAACAACTCAAACAAGTGCAACAAGAGTTGAAGAGGAGACTGAAGATGGCAAAGCTGGAGTACAAAAAGAAGATAGAGAATAATCAACAACACAGCAACATCCCTGAAGTGTGGAGAGGAATCAGAACCATCTCTGGACACAGCAGTAAAAAGAAAAGACAGCCAGTGGTGGGTGATGTGAAAAGAGTTGATGAACTCAACCTGTTCTTCAACAGATTTGACACTGCTGTCACTCCCACTTCCACTGCTACTCCACCTTCCTCTCCGCAACAAATCTCCACTACAACTTCTCCCCTTCCTCCTCCATCTCGTTCAAATGTCACAACCACTTCAACTGCCTCCCTCCTAGAACACCAGTCCTTATCTGTCACCGAAACAGGGGTGATGATGGAGCTTGGAAGACTTTGTCCTGGGAAGGCAGCTGGTCCAGATGGTGTGTGTCCAAGGCTGCTCAGAGACTGTGCTGCAGAACTGTGTCAACCTCTCCACAAGATCTTTAACCTGAGTCTACAGCTGGGGTGGGTACCTGCTCTATGGAAAACATCCTGCATTGGGCCAGTGCCAAAAACAAAATGTCCTGCTGTGGCCCTCACTTCACACATCATGAAGACCCTGGAGCGGCTGATTCTACGCCTTCTGAGGTCAAAGACAAACTGGACTTCCCTGCAGTTTGCATACAAATAACACATTGGAGTGGATGATGCTTTCCTCTGCATGCTTCACCGTGCCCTGTCTCATCTGGAGGAACCTGGGGTTTATGTGAGGATCATGTTCTTCGACTTTTCAAGTGCATTTAACACCATCCAACACACCATACTCAAAGACAAGCTCACAGAGATGGGAGTGGATCCTTCCTGTGTTTCCTGGACAGGAAGGCCACAGTTTGTCAGGCTGGGAAACTGTGTTTCTGGGACATTAATGAGCAGTACAGGGACTCCACAAGGGACAGTGCTGGCGCCATTCCTGTTCACACTGTACACATCAGACTTCAAATACAGTACTGAGTCCTGCCACATCCAGAAATACTCAGATGACACCGCTATTGTGGCATGTATTAGAAATGGACAAGAAGCTGAATATAAAGATCTAATAAGAGCCTTTAGTGACTGGAGTCACAAAAACTGCCTCCTCCCCAACACCTCAAAGACAAAGTAGATGGTCATAGACTTCCGTAGATCCAAACCCCCTCTTCAGCCAGTAAACACCTGCGGAGTGGACATCGAAGTGGTGACAGCATATAAATACCTAGGTGTACATCTGGATAATAAGTTGGAATGGTCTAAGAATATAGTCTACATCTACAGAAAGGGGCAGAGCCGCCTTTTTTGCCTGAGAAGACTTCGATCAATAGACGTCTGTAGTAAGACGCTGCAGATGTTTTATCAGTCTGTGGTGGCAAGTGTGCTGTTCTACGCTGCAGTCTGCTGGGGAGGAAGCATCAAACACAAAGATGCAAGACGTCTAAACAACTGGTGAAAAAGGCTGGCTCTGTGGTAGGACTCAAGCTGGACTCAGTGGAGGATGTGGTGGAGAGATGTACACTGTGGAAGGTGGAGACTATTCTCAAGAACATGGATCACCCACTTCACAACACCTTGATGGACCAAAGGGCAAATGGTGGTGGACGGCTCCTCTCTCTTTGCTGCAAGACAGAAAGATTTAGAAGATCTTTTGTACCAACAGCCATCACGCTTTATAACTCTTTTGTAAATAATAGATAACTCTTATGTAAATAATAGATAACTTTTATAGACATATTACATGAGACAACAGACAATTGAATTTCCCTTCGGGGATCAATAAAGTTTTTCTTCTTCTTTTTCTTCTTTTTCAAAACACTTTGTTTTAGCTACTGTCTCTTTGAGGCTTCTCCTGAGGCTTTCAAAGAACTGGCCAAGGACAGAGCTCGATGTTTTGCCACCGCCTCCTCTATTGTGGTCAATCAGTAGAGTAGCTTTAGCGTTAGCCGCTCCACTGTGGGTACAACCTTACATGCTGTTGGATGCAGATCAGTTTGCATTGCTGAAAGCTAAGGAGAGCCTGTAACATCTTTGTTGGAATTTTGGGGAGTCTTGCGTGTTTTTTTTTTTTTCTTTGAGCAGTTTACATCTAGTTTCTAAGATTTGACAATATACGTTTACCTTGTAATTTGAAACTTTGCATACCTCTAGCATGGACATCAAACTTTGTAACTTTGCAGTATTTGTTGTTAATGTGGGACAGCATAATACCACCCCTGTAAGTATTTACTCTGAATATTACATAGAACTGTCAAAAGTTAGCATGTTTTTGTCTTTGAGCATGTAGAGGACAAAATCAGCAAAAACATTTGTCCACAAGGGGTGGTAAAGTTCATCAAAGGAGCTTTAAAATACTCTCCTTAAAAAAACATCATGTGATGAGGGATTTCCAGATGAAATCACATCTTTTAAATGATCTTTCAATATAAAAAAGCTCACTGCAGTTTAAAAAGAGGAGTCACTTATGAAAAATACTCAGACTTAGTCCGGATGTGCCAACCACGCATGCAGCTTATCACAGTTACTCTTGTTCATTTTTGTACCTTTTGACCCTTTTTTCTTTCTATCTTTCACTCACAAGAATTTCCCTTTTTTGACAAATTCTTTAAGCTTTGACCTCTCTATATATACCTCAGAGGGAATTGAGGATTTTTATAATGAGAGAGCTGGCTTTTACTCCAACTACCATCATGCAGAAATGTCACTTTGTGGTCAGCTGGTCAAGCTGAAGCTGGTTGGCTAAACCACTGGATATTCCAGCAGAACTCCAGCGATGTTAAACACACAGAGGTTGCAGAGGAGGTAAATAATGGCAGGGCAAGTCAGATAGGCCAAGATGAAGGAGGCTCATGGAGAAAAGGCACAAGGCGTGTCTACCCTCTCTCATTATGAGAGGCAACATGAGATCTCTGGCAAATAAAATGGACGAAGCAACAGGGCATCCAGGAGCCAAGTGGAGTTTCAGGAGTGCAGCTTGATGTGTTATATGAAAACATAGCTGCAAGGACATTCCCAATCACCCTGTCAGCTTCCAGACTGTCTGGGCGGACTGGGGCAGCATCAAGTGCAGAAAGCGCAAAGGAGAAGGGGTTTGTTATGCCCTAACAACAGATAATACTGTCCTGGTCATACAACAGTGAAAGAGAGAGTATCTGTAGCTCTATGCATCTACTGAACTGTTAGTGTAGGGCTGTGGCCATATTATTTGCCTCAGGAGAGACTTTAATCATGTCACCATTGCAAAAACCCTGACTACTTTTACACAGTATGTTAGGGGAGAGGACCCTGGACCTGCTGTGTGCTAATGTGAAGGACACTGACAGCTTCTCTCCCCTCCCACTTCTTGGTAGGTCAGACCAGGGCCTGGTTCACCTCACTCCCCGCTATGTGCCTTAAGTGAAAAGGATGCCTGCGACCACATTGACAGTGGGGAGATAGTCCTTTGTCACATTACAGAGCTGTGTTAACGTGACAGACTGACAGGCACTCTGTGAGCCCCATGGGGAGGACATCAGTGGGCTCACAGAGTGCGTCACAGACTACATAAAATTCTGTGTTGACTGCACTGCCTCAACAAGGGCTGTCAATTGCTATTCTCACAACAAGCCATGAGTAACAAAGGACGTCAAGACTGCCCCAAACGCCAAGAAGAGGGCCTTCAGAGATGGTCATCTGGATGAGGTGAGGACTATCCAAAGGGACCAGAAAGTGAAGATCAGGGAGGCTAAGAACAATTACAGGAGGAAGCTGGAGCAAAAGCATCAGAAGGGTCTGAAGGGGCATTAATACTATCAAAGGCTTCAGGACACCTGGCAGTGGAGGAGTTAAAAGGCAGTGTGGATGATGCCAATAAACTCAATCTATTCTTTAATAGATTTGAAACGCCGCTGCTCTTCCGTCCCCCATCTCTGCTGTCTGCTTGCAGCCAAGCAACCCCTCTACCCTCCCACAACCCCAACCCCCTCACAGCCCTTTTCCTCTTCAAGTGAGGGTCTCACCCATCCCCCCTCCTTCTCTGACTCCCAAGCTTACAGCCCTTCCACAGATGATGACCCTGCCGCCGCTCCAGTCACCCCCACAACGTCCTTCACAACTGACCAGGTTAGAAGAGAGCTGAGCAGACTCCACGCAGGAAAGGCTGCAGGCCCTGATAGCGTTCAACCCAGGGTCCTCAAAGCCTGTGTCCCTTAGCTCTTTGGATTGCTTCATCATGTCTTTACCATGACCCTCAATCTTCAAAGGGTCCCCTGTTGAGGACAGTGGCATTGATATCCCACATCATGAAGACCCTGGAGAGACTTGTCCTAGAACAGCTGAGGTGGACAGTCAGACACCTCCTGGATCCGCTCCAATTCACCTACGAGCCCCAACTGGGGGTAAAGGGTGCCATTACCTTCCTGCTCAACTGTGTCTATGCCTGTTTAGTGTTACTCTACGTTGTGTTACAATACCAGGGATGACACCGGCAGGATCATTATCTTCATGTATTCTCTCTTTCAGGGATAGCATACAAAAGGGGGAAAGTGAGGGGGGCAACCCAAATATAAAGGAAAGGAAACCAACAAAGAAGAAACTAACAGGAAGGAGACTGCACATAAAAATAAATTAAATTCACAAAAAGGTTCCATATAAGAATAAGGGTAACTTTATTTTATCACCAAAGGGAAATTCAATTGTCTGTAGTCTCATTTGTCATTTGTCAAAAAGTCATCTACTATTTACAGAAGAATTGTTAAGCCTGTGGGTACAAAAGATCCTCTGAATCTTTCTGTCCTGCAGCGAAGAGAGAGAGGCTGTCCACCACCATTGGCCCTTTGGTCCATCAAGGTGTTGTGAAGTGGGTGGTTCATGTTCTTCAGAATAGTCTCTTCCTTCCTCAGTGTAGATCTCTCCACCACATCCTCCGATGAGTCCAACTTGAGTCCTACCACAGAGCCAGCCTTTTTCACCAGTTTGTTAAGACGTCTTTCATCTTTGTGTTTGATGCTTCCTCTCCAGCAGACTGCAGCGTAGAACAGAACACTATAGACACCACAGACTAATAAAACATCTGCAGCATCTTACTACAGATGTCTATTGATCGGAGTCTTCTCAGGCAAAAGAGGCGGCTCTGCCCCTTTCTGTAGATGAAGTCTATATTCTTAGACCAGTCAAACTTATTATCCAGATGTACATCTAGGTATTTATATGATGTCACCACTTCGATGTCCACTCCACAGATGTTCACTGGCTGAAGGGGGGGTTTGGATCTACAGAAGTCTATGACCATCTCATTTGTTTTTGAGATGTTGAGGAGGAGGCAGTTTTTGTGACTCCAGTCACTTAAGGCTCTTATCAGGTCCCTGTATTCAGCTTCTTGTCCATTTGTGATACATGCCACAATAACAGTGTATTTCTGGATGTGTCAGTGCTGTATTTGAAGTCTGACGTGTACAGTGTAAACAGGAATGGAGCCAGGACTATCCCCTGTGGGGCCCCTGCACTGCTCATTAATATCCCAGAAACACAGTTCTGCAGCCTGACAAACTGTGGCCTTCCTGTCAGGTAATCTGTGAACAGGAAGGATCCACTCCCATCTCTGTGAGCTTGTCTTCGAGTATGGTGGGTTGGATGGTGTTGAATGCACTTGAAAAGTCAAAGAACATGATCCTTACGTAAACCCCAGGTTCCTCCAGATGAGACAGGGCACAGTGAAGCATGTAGAGAGCATGTATGTTTTTTTCTCTCTTGTAGGCCTGCACGATATACGTGTGTGCGATAGTCGGAGGTGAATGAACTCAGTTAATTTCAAGGGTAGCTGACTGAGATACACTGCATGTGACTCTGCATGTGCTTTGCAGCGATCCACCAATCACCTTTGTCCTTTACTCAGTTGCCAATCAGACTCAGTTCTCAGTTGCCAATCAGACTACCCTGCCAGCTGTCAATCAAAATCAGAGAGGAGGAAACCCACACCGGCACATGTTCTGCACATGGAGGGAGACGCGTGTCCGCTGAGAATTACTTTCGGAACTTTACTGACTGTTAAGCCCAACAAATAAGAACTGTATGGGTTTTAAAATGTATATTTCCGTGGACCACTCTACTATAAGCGGTGCGCGTTTTGCGAGGTGCATGCAATTCTCGGAGGACATGCGTTTCTCGGCACAACACCGCTAAAAACAACAATAACAACAACAACATTGCAAAATGAGCAACGAACAAGAGAAAACCACAGAAAATGAAGATTTGTTGCCAAAAGGAAAAGGAAAGTCAGTTATCTGGAATTATTTCGGTTAAAAGAAGGATGATGTTGACCAAAACACGTGTTCTGTGTTCATCTGTCGCCACAATAACTCCCAGCACAATAAAAGCTAAAAATATCTCTGAGACAGACAGAAGCCATTCTAACATTCACAAAAAGAGGTAAGATCAGTGCAGGTTAATTGTCCTCAAGACTTAAGCAGTGCAGTATAACATTAAATGCTATTCAGGTCATCTGGTGAAAATTCCTATATTTTTAATATCGCAATATATATCGCAGGGTTCAAAAAATTTGCAATGTTAGTTTTTTCCAATATCGTGCAGCCTTACTCTCTTGCTTTGTGCCTGGTTCAGTAAACTGCACGTGCAATTTCAGCAAGGCATTACATCACTTGCTTACTCCTTGACTTGTCAATCAAATCAGACCTCTTAGCCTACTCGACACACAAAGATTATCGAGCAATCCCGATGTTGAAAACTGTCAGGCGCCAGACTGACAAGAAAGTTGTAGCAGCAGCTAAACATGTCGGCTTAAAAACCACGAAAGGTAGAGAATGAGAACAGGGTGTTTTATGGCGAGTGGACTGAGTCATTTGCATTCATTTTACCCGCAGGAAGCACACAGCCAATTGAAAGTAGGCAGTTATTAGCAATACAAATGAAGTGAATATTTCAAAAGAGTAATGCACTGTAAAAAAATAAATAAATAAAAATCCCTGGACCCAGGCCTGCAGGCATTTCATTCAGGTGGACCCACTGAGAATTTATATGAAGACCCCTGTCCTAGATCATTGACTGCCTGACAAGAAGACCACAGTTGAGACGCTCACAAAAAACACTGTGTTTTCCCCTTTACTCTCTACTCCACAAACTACAAATGCATCACAGAGTCCTGCCAACTTCACAAGTTCTCTGATGACTCTGCTGATGCATGATGTGAGCTGAGCTATCTTCAGCTCAATGTGACAAAAAATAAGGAACTGATGATAGTGGGTCTGTGAAGGACAAAGACGCCAGTGACTCCTGTTTCCATTGTGGAGGACTGGTCTAAGAACACTGTCTATAGGTGTTTTCACACTTGGTCCCCTTCAGCCCTCTATACGAACTCAGATCAATGTGAACACTCCAACTGACTCAGACCCCTTTAAAAGAAAACGTTGTATGGTTTCCTAAAAAATCTGCGGTATGTTTTGTCTAATCTGATAGATTCACATCGCCTTTTTGCACTGCATTATAACCTTTTTTGCCTGCCGTAGATTGGTCACACATTGGAGTGAATGATGCTGTCCTCTACATGCTTCACCGTGCCCTGTCTCATCTGGAGGAACCTGGGGTTTATGTGAGGATCATGTTCTTCGACTTTTCAAGTGCATTCAACACATCCAACCCACCATCAGCAGTCAGGCTGACTCATAGGGGTAGGGAAAAGAAAGAACACCAAATCCAAAGTATGGCTTTTAAGATTCTGCTACTATACCTGGACGCGGTGGAGCGACGCGGCTAAACTGAATGTCTTGGAAATTTGAAATGATGAGACACTAAAAGCAGTTCAATCAGGACCACTTTAGTAAAAATTAAATGTTGATTGCAAGTAGACATTTTTACATTGGTGGTATGGCTCTGTTCTGAGAGTTCCCTGCCCTTCTATGCGCTTGCATGGAATGCCAGGGCTATAAGAGGGGAGAGCTCCTCCCCTCCCTTTAATGTACATACATGAAAAGCCATGGCAGAGAAAGCAACAGCAAATAAATACGATTGAGATAAATAAACTAAAATTCCCCCACAGAACAGAGCAAGCATTAGTGACAACACATATGACACTGGTAAGATCAGACACAACATAAACAGGAGGAGCTGGGGTGGAGGTGGATTGCAGAGTGGTTGCAGCAGGCAGAGTAGGCAGGAGAAGCAGTTTAAATAGGGTGGCATTTTAAAATTTGCCAATTGGATGTGTAGAGGGCAATCAGCTGAGCTGTCAGCTGACTGAGGGCTGGCTTAGGATCAGCTGACTGTAGCCTTTAGCTTAACTTTGTGTCCTGCCTGAACTATCGCTATGCTCAATAATTATATACGACCCACTGTAATGCAAAAGTCTTATAATCGGCCGGTTATAATCGAACATCTGTACAGTACAGAGTTAAAGTAAAAAATAAAAAACACAAGTACCTCAGCACTCGTGATAAAATGCTCCAGAGGACCTCTTGTGAACAGAACGAGTACTGAGGCCACATCAAAACTGAACTGGACCAGAAAGAGAGCCAGGTCCTCTTTGAAATAAACTCACAATGTGAACACAAAAAGAACTGAATTCTTTTGCTTTTGGTCAACTTTTTGGTCTACTTAAAGAGGACTGAGTGCGTTTTTTTTTAAAAAAGGGACCAAGTTTGAAAACACCCTTCGGGTATCAGATACCAACAGACTTATTAAACTCATCTGCAATTCCAGTGACATTGTGGGAGTACAGCTGGACTCTTTGATGGTGGTGACAGAGAGGAGGATGTTGTCATAGCCACATGTAACCTTGGACAGCATCCACCGGTCACTCCATTGCTGGTTAAACAAGGAGGATGAAAGGCAGTGCGGAAGAGGTGTGTTTTGAGAAGGGTCTTGAATCTGGTGAGGTCAGTGCAGTTTCTGAGTTCGAGTGGGAGTGAGTTCCAGAGGGTGGGGGCGGCGACTGAGAAGGCTCTGTCCCCCCAGGTTCGGTGCTTGGTCAGGGGAACTGTGAGGAGGTTGGCATTGGCGGAGCGGCGGGTGCGGGAGGGGATGTAGGGGTGGAGAAGATCCTGTAGGTAGAGGGGGGCGAGGTTGTGGAGTGCTTTGTGGGTGAGGAGGAGGATTTTGTATTGAATGCGATGGGGGATGGGGAGCTAGTGAAGGTTTTGGAGGACGGGGGTGATGTGTTGGTGGGAGCGTGTGTGGGTGAGGAGGCGGGTGGCAGAGTTCTGGATAATCTGAAGTTTATTGAGGAGAGTGGAGGTGGTGCCATAGAGGAGACTGTTAGAGTAATCTAGACGAGATGAAATGAATGCATGTATAAGGGTTTCAGCTACAGGGTAGGAGAGGGAGGGGCGGAGGCGGGCGATGTTTTTGAGGTGGAAGTAGGCTGTTTTAGTGATTTGCTTTATGTGGTGAGTGAAGGAGAGGTTGCTGTCGAAGAGAATGCCAAGGTTGCGACAGTGGGAGGAGGGGGAGAGGGTGGAGTTGTCGATGGCGAGATGAAAGTCTGTGACTGTGGAGGTGAGGGAGTTTGGGCCGATGATGAGGAGATTTGTTTTGTCATAGTTGAGCTTGAGAAGATTGCTGTCCATCCAGTGTTTGATGTCAGAGAGGCAGTTTGAGAGGGAGCGTTGGGTCTGGGGGGTGATGGAGTTGGAAGAGATATATAATTGAATGTCATCAGCGTAGCAGTGGAAGTGGAGGTTGTGTTGATGGAGGATGTGGCCAAGAGGGAGGAGGTAGATGATGAAGAGGAGGGGACCAAGCACCGAGCCCTGGGGGACACTTTGGGACACGGGGGCGGTTGTGGAGGAGCAGTTGTTAATATGGATGAAGTGATTCCGGTCTGTGAGGTAAGAGTGGATCCAGTTAAGAGCGGTGTCAGTGATATTGAGGAGGGAGTGTAGGCGGGACAGTAGGATGGCGTGGTCGATGGTGTCGAAAGCGGCGGAGAGGTCGAGGAGGATGGAGAGTTGGCCGGAGTCAGCAGAAATGAGGAGGTCGTTTGTGACTTTGGTGAGGGCAGTTTCGGTGCTGTGGTGGGTGCGGAATCCTGATTGAAACTGTTCATAGAGGTTGTTATTGTTGAGGTGGGTTTTGATTTGTGATGCAATTACACGTTCGAGGATTTTTGACAGGAAAGGGAGGTTGGAGATGGGCCGGAAGTTATTGATGTAGTCGGGGTTGAGTCCGGGTTTTTTGAGGATGGGGGTGACAGCGGCCAGTTTGAGTACAGTAATACTCTGTTACAATATTCTGTGCAATGTCCTATGAACTGGTTTTGTATATACTCTATGCTTGTACATGGCTTATTTTTTGTGCACTGTGCTTTGTAAATAGCGTATTATTCTGCACTTCTTACGAACCATTGTGGTTTCTTATTTCTTCTTATTAATTCCTATTTCTATTCTCCTTTTACCAATATTTGTATTTCAAAAGCGGCCAACAATTAGGATTGGGAACAAACAGCCTGGTATTACAATAAGCACCAGGGACAACAGGTGCTTCAGGTTTATGTATTTAGTGAGCTATATCAGGGCTGGTGGTGGGTCACAGAACAACTGGGACTTGTTTCTGTAAATACCTCAAAGCTAATAAGCATACAGAGTTCCTAAAAATTTGGCATGCTCATTCAACTCATTCTTCTTTTCTTGATTTATTGAGAACCACACTTACACTTCAGTCTTATTGGAGCAATGATTGTAAATTAATCAGGTTGATAACCTTCAAAAAAGCACAAAAGACATGTAATAATTAAAAATCATTGCTTAAATAAACATTTCTTTTTTATCTACTCATATTATGTAGACATCATTGTCGTCATTTTTACTAAAAAAAAATTCTTTAGGGTAAAAGAAATCATACCAGCATCTTTCATTGAATCCTGACTCCTTCACCTTAGTGTATCAGTCAAAGAAGGTCCAAGCAGGTGTTAAGGATCCTCTGATTACCTGCCAGTCTTACAGAGGCTGTGTCTCAATTCAGGGTCTGCACACTTAAAGTGCAGATTTCAAGGGCACATAACGTCATCACGGAGTGCAAAGGTTGTCCCATTTGGCTTGCAATTCTGAGAGAGCTTAAAATGTGGTCCCCAAACCACCCTTCCCCCGCCCCTTTTTCAAGCATGCATTTACGCACACTTTGTGGCCTTGGAATCCCCAGAATTCTTTGCATGCTGCTGCACAGCTGCGCATTTCAGGTGAGACGTCAAAAAAGTTCGGAGGCGAACGCTCAGGGGCGGGGCTACAGGGGGGCTGGGGGGGCATGCCTCTGAGTTAGCGGGGGAACATGGGGGAGTCAGGCCCCTCCAAGCTGTGGAGGGAGGGACTCTTCCACGGCTTGAGCATGCAAACAGTTTTTTTTTCTAATCACCAATGTTGGAGCCATTATTTAGTTTCTTTTGTTTGTTTTATTTCTTGTTTCTATTCCTTGGTTCTTTGCATCGTAAAAAGGTATTTAAGTAAGCCCAGGTAGTGAGCCAGGTGTGGAGGGCAGAGCTATACAGATTTTTGAGCATGTCAGCATGGCAGCAGGTGAACTTTCTCTTTGTTTGAATGGAAATAAATGGGTCACCGTACTCAAAGAAAGAATATTAGAATCTTGGTTTTTATTGTCACATCACACATCAGAATGGGTTCTAGCCCTTCACCTACTGGAACTCAGGTGTATAGTCTCAGTGGAAAGACTACATTTAAGTCAAAAATCTTGAAAGAACTTGCCGAGGGATCCCCGTTCACATGAGAGTGGTGACAGGTGGGCCGAGAGCTGGGCCGGGAGATCGCTGTGAACTGGGCCGAAGGATCGCCTGGAGCTGGGCCAAGGGATCGCTGTGAACTGTGCCGGGGATCGTCGTTCACGGGACAGTTGACTGGTTGGACGTTGTCGCTGGATTCCGGGATGGATCGTTTGGATGGGGGTGGTGCGATGACGAGCTGAGCCGGGACCACGGACTATCAGCTGGTCACTTTTTGTTGACTATCACAAGAATGGACCGGAGGTATGTGTAGCATGAGATATGGTTTAAAGCAAAATTGCTGAGTGTAAATAAATTTACCAATGCCGTGCACAGGTGGCTCACAAACACAGACACTCTCAAACCTGCCAAAAATGATAAGGATGAACATTGCGCCGAAATTGAAGTGAACCCAGATGACTGCATTTCCAACATAGAAACAAACATTTTAAGTAAAACATCAAGCCGGAAATGTTGTGCTAGCTCAAAAAGCAGCAAATCATCTTCAGCATCAGCCCGCATCCAGGCTGAGGCAGAGAGAGCTGCGCTTGAAGCTCGCGCCACAAGTTAAAGGAGAAACACACTCTGGAGGAAGAAACAGAGGAGCTGAGGAGGGGAAAGGAAAGACTGGCTGCTAATTTAGCAGCAGAAGCTGCTTTTAAAAGTTTTTTGGCCTCCAGTCACCATGCTCACTCAAAAACACACACAGATGGCATGGAGTCATGTTTTGAAAAGGCCAGAAAATTAAAGGACACTTTAACAACTTTCAACAACCAGGAGCAAGGAGCAAGGTTAAAGGAGGCATCCACCATTCTCAACCCACAAGCAAAAGAATTTCTGCCTACCCCTTTGGACTCACAGCAGCAACAACCATTTATGCAACAACAAAACAATAACCAGGATGCTCAACTAAGAGAAGCAACAAAGCATGTCAATCACTGTCAAGTACCCCTTTAAATAAGTGATGAAACACCAACACTCTGCTACTTATTGCAAAGATAAAATGAAATATCAACATTGCTAATCCAACAACAATATGCTCATTTACTACCACCACGAGAAATTCCATCATTTGATGGGGACCCGCTGCAGTATAGAACATTTATCAGAGCCTTTGAACACTGCGAGGAAAGAAATGCTGGCAGCGAAGGGGATTGCTTGCGTTTTCTAGACAAATACACAAGAGGTCAGCCCAAAGATTTAGTGCATAGCTGTCAGCATATGGCTTCTGACAGAGGCTACATTATGGCTAAGGGTTTGTTAGAGAAACATTTTGGAAATGAACACAAAATCACCACAACATACATGGAGAAAGTCCTCAACTGGCCAGCAGTAAAACCTGAGGATGTTAAATCCCTTCGAGCGTATGCCCTGTTTCTTTGTGAATGTTGTAATGCTATGGAGGATGTGCAGTACATGAGAGAACTGGACATGCCATCTAATATGAGAGCAGTGATCTTAAAGCTTCCATATAAGCTAAGAGAAAGATGGAGAGTTTCTGCCTGTGAGATAATGGACAGATTCAATCGCAGGGCACACTTCATGGACATTGTCACATTCATAGAGCACCAAGTGAAAATTATATCTGACCCAATATTTGGAGACATTCAGAATACACAACCCACAACAACATACAAAAATGTAATCAGGATGAAATCACAGTCAAAGCCACGGTTCAAAGGAGACAGTTTTGCATGACTGTCTCTACCGTCAAGACACCTGCATTCAAGGAAAATAAGATGTCTTGCAAAATGTCAATTGCAAAATGGTTCATCTGCAAAGACAAGTGGAATGTGTATGTGCTGCTCTAAAGACCACTTACTGGAACAGTGTCCACAATTGGAGGAGAAATCACACAGAGACAAGATAAACTTTCTAAAGGAGAAAGGAGTTTGCTTTTGTTGTATCTGGTCTGTCCGTGCCCTGTAGATGCAGAAGAAGGCTTTGTGACACTGGCTCGCTTGTATAATAGGAGTTTATTATAAAGACAACACCAGTATCAATACAGCACTGCAGCTGCTGGGAGAGGACTGCCAATGATGTCCAGCTCTCCCAAACCAGAGTTTGTGACCCTGTTATATAGGGTCAGGGATGTAGGTCCTCCTACATTCTCTTTGTCCCCGAGCTTTCTTTCATTACCATCAGGTTTTTATTTAACCTAGAATTGTGACCTGTGTCCTGTGTCCTGTGACCTGCAAACGTGCAACTTCCAGGATATCCCAACCCAGGTACCATTAAAAAGACACAAAGAAAACACCGGCCCATAATCCACAATTCGGCCGCCTCAGGCTATTCCTGAGAAATACCTCAAGGCACTGCATATAGATACCGCATATTTCCCCCCTTCGAGATTCCATAGACTCCATAGAGTCTCGAAAAAGGCAAAGACATTTTTACAATTTCAATTTACTACTAAATTTTGGAGTGTGAGAGCGAAAACCTGTCGTCCTGGTCATCCCATCGAACCCTCCAGTGGACCTATCCCTGCCTAACACCACTGATCCTAAAAGTGAGAAACCAAAGAAAATACCTGAGATCCCAATACATTCACTTGACAACTTAGGCTGTGAATCACGAACCACCCTTCCATACTTTTCATTCTTTCTATACTGTCTGGTATTGACATGTACATAGAAATACAACACAGAGAGATAAATTGACATTCATATCACAGATCACATGCTAACAAAACTCCACTCTTAGAAAATGAATAATAATTGTTGCTCCTGAAGGTCCTTGGTTGCTTGTGTAGTGTTCTTTCCATGGGTTTTTCTATGTTTGGGTAGCCAATGCAATGTCCTTGCTCACATTCTCTGTCCGGTTTTAGTTTCTGTTGTCATTGTCCATGCTTGATTGTCCTTGTCTGGATGTGTGGGTCTGTTAAAGCTGTCTAGATCTCTGGAGAACCACCTTTCTTGAGCTGGTCTTCCCAACTGCTGTCCTGGGAGTGGCTGGTCTGCCCAACTGCTATTCTGAGAATGAAAAAATCAAGCAGTATCTTGCAAAAAACATACATTTTTGTTTGTTTGACATGTTTATCCTATTGCCCCCTAAGTAATACTCCCCCTTTATGACATCAAAATGTAAACCTTGTTTACACGCTTGTTCCGCGATTGTCCTCTCTATTTCGCCAAGCCTAGCCTGCATAGCGGGGCTCCGGGGGTGGTTGTGACGTATTACATCTCACTGTTTCTGAACCTGCTATTTGGGTTTGCCAGAGATTCACAGTGATTTGAATGCAGAAATACACAGAAATGCAATTTCACACTTGTGTTTCTCATATGACTTGTAGCATCAGAAAAATGCCATATGAGTGTATAAAAAATGAGAAAAACATCATTTTTATTGGAATGGGTCTTACCATTCACAAATACCTCAAGGCACTGCATATTGGTGTAGTACTCTAGATACCACACTTTGGCTGCCTTAGCATTGGACACATGAGCAAATATTGCCACAAGCACTTGACTTGTAGGGCTTGCAGCCAAAAGCATCCCAGCATTCTTCATATCAAACAAAGAGCAAGCAGCAAGGACTCTAAACGGCTCAAGGAATCATCTGTAAGCAGTGCACTGGTCTCTCTGCAAACATGTGGTCATACAGTGGCTGGAAATGGTGATGGAATCCTGTCCATCCTTCAAGTTCAGGTTAGGTCGAACAAAGGAAACAAAATCATACAAACATACGTATTTCTGGATCCAGGGAGTACAGCCACATTCTGCACAGAAAACTTGATGAGAAAACTGCATATGAATGGAAGGAAAAATCAAATCAGTCTACAAACTTTGGGCCCAAAGGCATCAGTCTCCAGCTACAGGGTGATGAGTTTGGAGATTTCAGGTCTCACTGAAATACGTTTTTATGGCCCACCAGAGGTATATACCCAGAAAGAAATGCCTGTAAGCACAGACAACATCATCACTGAAGAGGAATTGGCTAAGTGGCCATATTTGGATGGTGTTGAAATCCCTAGTATTCAAGCTAACGAGGAGGTGTTGATAGGCACCAATGCCTCCAAATTGCTTGAACCCTGGGAAGTAATTAACAGCCATGGAAATGGACCATATGCCATTAAGACCCTATTGGGGTGGGTCATTAATGGCCCTCTTCAAGGATGCAGTAACAGGAAGCGTGAAAGTGACCACCCCATTGCTTCTGTCAACAGGATCTCGATTGAAAGCTGGAGGTTCTACTGAATAACCAGTATAATCATGATTTTAATGAGAATTTATCATGCAACAAAGAGGAGATGTCTAGAGATGAAGTAAAGTTCATGAAGATAATGAAAAGTTCAGTGGAGCTTAAAACTGGCTTTAATCCAGACATTGCTGCTGATGACCCAGAGGTAAAGAAGGATCTTCTGGTTAATGCAGTGATTGCTGAGAACTCACAAAGTTTTCCTCAACTGATGACATACTTTTCTGATCGGCAGAAGTTAAAGAGGTCAGTTGCATGGGTTCTGAAAGTAAGGAAGGCTCTTTGGACATGAGTCAAAAACCAAAACAACTGAGTCAAAGGGATGCAGGCATCAACAGCAACAAAGTGGAACAGGAGATGCAAAGGCTTAAAGCTGCATATAGAGAACAGAGTTTGACTCCAGATGATCTTTTGGAGGCAGAAACAAACATCTTTCGCTTAGCTCAACAGCAAAGGTTCCCGAAAGAGTTTGCTGCATTATCATCTGGCAAATGTAAAGTAAAAAAGAGAGTTCAATTTCCAAACTGGACCCCACTTTGGTGGATGGATTGCATAGAGTTGGAAGGAGATTGAGTAAAGCTGCCATGTCAGAGGAGACAAAACATCCACTTATCCTATCCAAAGACCAGCATCTAGCCTCTCTAATATTAAAGCACATTCATGAACCGCTGGGCCATGGTTGGAGAAACCAGGTTCTCTCCAGATTGCGGAGCAAATACTGGATCACCAGTGCTAATGCTGTGACCAGAAAGATTCTGTCCAACTGGGGATTCTGCAAACGCCATAAAGGGAAGCTGGGTGAGCAGAAAATGGCCAAACTGCCCATTGAGAGAATAATTCCAGATCTCCCTCCATTCACAAATGTTGGCGTTATTTTGGACCAATCGAGGTCAAAAGAGGACGTAACCTGGAAAAGCGCTATGATGTAATCTTCACATGTTTGGCATGTAGAGCAGTCCACCTGGAGGTGGCATACTCACTGGACACTGATTCCTGCATAAACGCTCTGCGCAGGTTTGTTTGCAGAAGAGGTCCAGTTTTTCATCTTCGCTCTGACAATGGAACTAACTTCACTGGCGTTGAAAGGGAGTTGAGAGAAGCTCTCATTGTTTTAAATCACAGCAAAATACAAGGTGCTTTTCTACAGGAAGGAATAAAGTGGAGCTTCAACCCACCAACTGTGTCTCTCCATGGAGGTGTATGTGAGCGCATCATAAGGATGGTTAGATGGTCTCTAACTTCAGTTCTACGCCAACAAACTTTGAATGATAAAGGACTCAATACGGTCTTGTGTGAAGTCAAATCCATTCTGATTGATGGCCCAATCACTAAGTTATCAGGAGATCCCAATGATCTGAAAGCTCTTACACCCAAACGCATACTCACAATGAAAAGAGAGCCAGTTTTCCCACCTGGTCTGTTTGAGAAGAATTATCTCTACATCAAAAGGAGGTGGAGACAGATACAGTACATATCTGATCTTTTTTGGAAGCACTGGATAAGAGAATACTTACATTTGCTACAGGAGCGTCAAAGATGGAGTAAGGAAAGAAGAAGTCTTGTGCCTGGAGATGTGGTGCTTATTGCAGATCCTACAGCTCCCCACAGTTCCTGGTTACTCCGAAATATCCTGCAGACATATCCAGACAGGAAAGGGCTGGTGCGTTCTGCACAAGTGCAAACCAAATCCAGCATACTGGACAGGCCAGTAACTAAACTCTGCCTTCTTCAAGAAGTTGAAAAATAAGTTGTACTTAGATTACCGTTGACCTTCGACCTATATAGGAGCTAATAGACTTTTTGTTAAAATGCTTGTTGGCTCTCTTGAAGACTCCAAAATCAGGCAACTGGGCTGTGTAGAGCTGAGGAGACGTTTCGCCTCTTATCCAAAAAGCTTCTTCAGTTCTAATTATTGCTAGTGTGAGGAGCAAATATTTATCTTACTGGAGAAGGGGACAGACAACGACTGGGAGAAGTTGGAAAGAAATGCAGTTCTCAGCTCTTTCCCAGAAAACTCCACAAACATTCACACCTGGGACCACATGACTCAGGTGGCATGAGTCATGTGGTCACATGACAGGGGTAGTTAACGACCCTTTCAGGTTAACAACCCTCAGGGGGGAACACCCGGAGATGGGTTTCTATGACCATTCTAGGTGTAAAATATTAAACATAATATTGTGCTGTATGTCTGGCTTTCTTTTCGCTCTCACATTTCATTTTATGACGTGCAAATTTATAAGTAGCTCACCATTATTGTCTCAAAGTGTATTTTGGGTAAAATTGTCATCAACGTCATCAGTCACTTGTCAACAGAATGCAAGCTAGGTGGAGCATTTTTACTACGAAGTTAACATGAGTGGCAGTTCATTTAAACACAAAAGTGGAGCTGCAAAGTGCAAAGAAAAGGAAAAAAGAGAGCAAGGAAAAGCCAAATTACAAAAACTGGACACATATCATGTTTGTCCTCGGAAATGATATGGCCAATTTTGCTGAAAACATCCAGGACGCCAATACAAGATAAGATAAGATAAGATGTTCCTTTAATAGTCCCACAGGGGGAAATTCTAAAATTACAGCATCATAGTATAGATACAAAAAAGACAAAAATTAAAAGATATAGAAACATTAAAAGATATATCCTTCAGATGGGCCCATGCAGACCCAAAGGTCTGTTTCCCACTGATAACAACAATCAGTGTTTTTTCGAAAAGTTATTACACCTCTACCACTAAAGTTGGGATGAAACTCCCCCGCACCTGGATATGCTTTTTCCCCAATTAGACTGCTGTTACTATGAGCCATGCACTGTCACAATTCAAGGTCTGCATACAGCTGAGAGCACTCCTCTGAGTGCACTGCCCTTCTGTGCACTTGAGTACCCCGGGGTGAGGTGGATCATCTTTTGTGAATTGGGACAGTCTACCCTTCAGCGGACTTCCTGGTTGAGTCGTCAAATGTTCCTGCCCTCGGGCTTGCATCACGGCTGACTTGAAGAGAAGCCGTGGAGTGCAGCATTTTTTTATTGTTATTTTAATTTGTTATTTTTTAACAAATATAAAAATAATAAAAATCTCAAATCTCAGTGTAGCAATCCTTTAAACAAAACAAACTGTACATGGTGACGTGGTGCGTTTATTACGCATCACTATCACTTTCATCAGAGTCATCATCCCATACAGCTCTTTCTTCTGTTTCCTTTGAAGCATTCTCACATGCTTGGCACCGACATAAATCTGTACAAGGTAGTCTTGCAGACATACAAGAACATCCATACATTCACAGGTTGAGATT